TAGAAAACACAAGGCCCTGTCATGTAGTACATGGTGACTTAAGTCATTTCATGATGCATATTAATTTGTGGTGATGCACTACATCTTTGGACCAAACTTTCCAAGGGTTCTAATACTCAAGTCCAGAAGCGGAGATAGAATGAAGATAAGAGAAGGGTTCTTTTTAGACATTTGTAAAATTTATGGAATTCTCCTAATCATGTTCAGACTGTTTTTGCCATTTAGATGATTTTCATAACTCTTACCTAGGTCTGGAACATACAAAGAACTTACCCATGTTAACTAGTGAAATTATTGAATTTTATATTTGCAAAAAATCACTCAGAGGTAATCTAGTTTCTGCCTAATGGTATTTTTATATTACATCTGGCACTAAACCTAAGTTCTATTCAGTATCATCAGAAATAAGGACCAAAGGCATTTCTATAATTACCTTGATAGACATTTGCTTTCTTTAAGGAAGAATGCACAAATTTCATATAGCCAAAAAATCTTTTAGATGACTTTAAAATGTAATGTAGAGAAATGTAAATTTCTGTAAATTATTCTACATTGGAACTAATGGGAAATAATTTCTTCTGTTTTAAGCTATCTATAGGTAATTAGGTACCTTGACTCATATTACTGGACAAATACTAAATTTTTATGCCTTATACCATCTTAGCATCATAAGAAAATTAATAATAATATAATCATCAATGAAACAAGTTTGTTTCTTTCATGTAGAGGTAAAGCCATTGTGGAACTGGACTAAGGAACATTTAAAGTTAACTTAGGCCAGCACAGTGGCTCATGCCTGTAATCCAAACACTCTGGGAGGCCAAGGCAATAGGATTGCTTGAGTTTAGGAGTTTGAGACAAAGCCTGAGCAAATGTAAGACCTTAACTCTATTAAAAATAGAAAAAGTAGCCAGGCACTGTGGCAGTCACCTGTAGTCCCAGCTACTTGGGAGGTTGTGGCAGAAGGATTTCTTGAGACAAGGAGTTTGAGGTTGCAGTGAGCTATCATGACTTTACTGTACCCTACCCAGGGTGACACAGCAAGACTCTGTCTCAAAAATAAAAACTAAAAAACTTAAGTTATTTTAATTCCCTGTTATGGAATATTGAGCATCTTAACACAGGGACTCTATCATATTGAAGTTTAGTTCTACAGGAACTACTTTGGAATACATTTCAGATGTCAGAAACTACCTCTATTAAACAGAGTGGTGGGATAATATAAAGTTGGTGGGATAGTAGTATAAAGAATTGAAATGAGTGACTCTGAGCTCTGTGTTCTAATATTAATTTTGCTACTTCTAAGCTTCTGATTTTGAATAAATAATTTTTTGGTGCCTCAGTTTTATCATTTGTAAAGTTGGGAATATTCTAACTGTTGCCTTGGGATTGCTATACAGATCAGGTATATTTATATGTATGCCACGTATTTGTTTACTTTTTTATACTGTTTCTCTATAAAAGGAATGTGAGTTAACTTTGACTAAACATAGAGGTATAAAATAATACCTGCAAAATAAAAGATAAAAATAAAAGTTAAAATTTAGTAAGAATTCCTGACTAAGAAAAGCTCTAGATTTAAGCTTTCCAGTGGCCAGTGCAAAGAAGGAATGAGTTGTACACATACAGCTCTAACTTTTTTGCTCAAAGGAAAATATACATAGAGAAAAGGTTTTATCTAGTTTTACGCTCTGAAGGTAATTTTTCATGTGAGGTTTTATAAGAAAATGTAATTATTTATTGCAATAACCAAAGAAAAAATGACAGTTTGGGCGTCTTATTTTGTTTGGTACTCAAATGTGTATTGATATCAATATTTGTTTTTTATTGAAAAGTTCAAAATTCATGAGGCAAAAAATCAGCAAAACAGGATTCAAAATATATGCACAACAACATATCAGAAAAAACTATTTACATAAATACATGTTACTATAATTAAAAAGATAATAAGTATTGGTGGTATGTGAAGAAACTGGAACCCTCATGCATTACTGGTAGGATTTAAAATGGTATAGTAACTTCAAAAAACTGTTACTTCCTCAAAGGGTTAAACATAATTACCATATAGTACAGCAAGTCTATTCTTATGTATACACCCAAGAGAAACGGAAACCTATGTCCACATAAAAATATGTACATCAAGGTTTTAATACCATTATTCAAATAATGAAAAAGTAGAAACAACCCAAATATCCTTCAAACTAGGAAAGAATAAACAAAGTATGGTATACCTAAACAACGGATATTATTTGGCAATAAAAAGGTATGACATGGGGCGGTGCCCATGGGTAGAGCACCAGCCACATACACTGAGGGTGGTAGGTTTGAACCTGGCTTGGGCCAGCTAAACCAACAATAACAACTGCAAAAACACACACACACACACACACAAAAATCACTGGGCATTGTGATGGACACCTGTAGTCCCAGATACTTGGGAGGCTGAGGCAAGAGAATCACTTAAGCCCAAGAGTTTGAGGTTGCTGTGAGCTGTGATGCCATGGCACTCTACCCAGGGTGACAGCTTAAGACTCTGTCTCAAAAAAAAAAAAGAAAAAAAATGTATGAAATGATGATACATGCCAAAACATGGATAAACTTGGGAAACATCCTAAGTAAAAGAATATGATCACAGAACACCATATATTACATAATTCTGTTTATATGCAATTTCCAAAATAAGCAAATCCACAGAGACAGAAGGTAGATTAGTTGTCTAGGGCAGGTGCTGGGGAACTTACTTTGAACCATGTTACTTATTTCTCATTTTGTAATGGAGATGTCTATCCTATGCCTTCCCCACCATTGTATTTTGGAAATAGATGTGTTTTTTGATTTTACAGGTTCACAGCTGGTAGAATTTGCATTGGGACAAATTGTACCTTGAGTATCACCGATATCTGGTTTAAATAAGACTTTGGACTGTTGTACCCCCTATGGCCTGAAAAGATAGAGTCAGACCCCCACTTAGATGTAATTAATTGGTAATTTATTTCACCTGCCACAGGGGCTGCTGCTCTGAGAGGCAGTCAGCAGCCAAGTAGGGGGTAGGTTGCCTTTTATAGTTTTTGTGTAAGCATACTACAGAAATGAAACATGGCTGGTTAAGGGGGTTACAGCTCAGGTAGTCATGGATAAAGCAATGGTTACAGTAATGTAACAATGATTAATACAGCTTTGGTTGACAGTGGATATATCTTAGATCACAATGGTTATAGTTAGGTAACCATGATTAATACAGTCTTGGTGGATTTCCAGCATTGTTTATTCACTGAGAACTTGGGGGGGTTTTTGTGAAACTTGGGACTTTTCTTCCTTGTTCTGAAGCTTGTTCCTGGCAAGCCTAGGGGGAAGGGGGTGCCTGGGAACGTGGCTGGGAAGCATATTCTTGGCCACCCTGGGGGGAAGAGGGACTTGTCTTGTTCCCTTAGTCCACTCTTGGGGGAGGGAGGAAGAGGGAAATGGGCTGGGAAGCCTGTTCTCTGTCACCCTGGGGGGCAGGGCTGGGAACAGGCTATGCTAGGACTTTATAATTTTGAATTGTTGGTAGAACAATTAAAAGCTTTGGGACTATTGGTGTGGAAATAATGTATTTTACATTGAGAGAAGGACAGGAAATTTGGAAGCTATGATTTGAATGTGTTCCTAAAAACATGTTGGGAACTTAATCCCTAAGGCAAAAGTATAGACAGGTGGAGCCTAATAAGGCATGATTGGGTCATGAGGGATTAATGTAGTTCTTGAAGGTGTAGGTCAGTTATCACAAGAGCAGTTTGTTACAAAAGTGTGTACAGCCTCTTAAGCTTTCTTGTTTGCACATGTTTACCTGCCTTCTACCTTTCTGGAGTGGGATGATGCTGCCTGAAGGCCCTTTCTGGGTCTTGGCACAATACCCTTAGACTTCCAAGCCTCCAGAACTGTGACCAAATAAACTTCTGGTCTCTATAAAATAAATAAATACAGATACTTATTCAATTTCTAAATAATTTAGATTTTTTACTTAAAATACCAGAATAACACAATTATGACAAAATAATGCTGGGATTTTGGTACACAAAAATACCAAAAACTGGTATTAAAATCACTAAACATAACTGAGGTATGAAAAAGTACCATTAAAATAATAAAGCACTACATAAATGAGATCATATTATTATTGACTGTTTTTACAAGTTAATATCCAATTAATCTCATCTGTGAATTATAACAATATTGAGTTTATAAAGTTCTTTCAACTTTTTAAAAGCAATTTCATATTTACTATCTCAGTTACAGAAATATCACAAGTGTTATTATCTGGAGAACTACTTAACACTGTTATTATCATCATTGAAATTTTTTAAGTAGAGGCTAAGTGACCCTTTGTCAGGAATATTGTAAGATTCCTGCAATGGTTAAAGTTTGGATTCAGTAACTGCCAGAAACTAAGAATCTGTGATTCCTTGT